TCTCTCTCTCTCTCTCTCTCTCTCTCTCTCTCTCTCTCTCTCTCTCTCTCTCTCTCTCTCTCTCTCTCTCTCTCTCTCTCTCTCTCTCTCTAACTATCTACCTATCTATATATTTCCTAATCTATTCATCTATCCATCAATGAGAATGAACGGTTTTACAATACAAAGAAATGTAACAAAAGTTGCATTTCTTGCATTATGAAACAAAACCACTCTGAGAGACACAGACAGTAGACAGACGTGCAAAGCGACGCAGAGGAAGGCGAAAAAAAAAGACCAAAGGGATAAGGAAAAAGTGTACAGTAAGATGTATAGGAAGTTGACACAGGAAGTATAAGGTTATAAAGGAAGTACATGGTTTACACAGGAAGTATAAAAAGATTGCAGGGTGTATACACAGGAAGTATAAGAAGTTGACACTTGAAGTATAAGTTGACACAAGAAGTGTAAGGTTACAAAGGGAGGATATGAAGTTTACATGGGATGTATAAGAAGTTAGCACAGGAAGCAGAAAAGTACTTGTAACGGTTGGACAAACTGCTGTACAGAGAGAGAGAGAGAGAGAGAGAGAGAGAGAGAGAGAGAGAGAGAGAGAGAGAGAGAGAGAGAGAGAGAGAGAGAGAGAGAGAGAGAGAGAGAGAGAGAGAGAGAGAGAGAGAGAGAGAGAGAAAGAAAAGAAGAAGAAGAGAGAGAGAGAGAGAGAGAGAGTTTCCTATATATTGGTATATGGGTGTAAATTTACTGTAATCCAAATTAATGCAAAATATTTAGTTGAAACGTCAGTTTTGTATTTACTCTTTGATACATAATCACTTTTCGTTGCAATCGGTCAAGGTTTTCGTACTGAGTTTAATGTTATAGAAGAAATAGGAAATATATAGAGAACAACCAGGATGGCGCACAAGTTTATTTTCATCTTCTCTTGGGGAATCAATAATGATAGTAATGATAATGGTAATAATACTGGTAATAATAAGGATAATATTTCCAATAATAATAACAATAATGATGATAATGATAATAATAATAATGATAATAATAACATAAAAAGATGATGTATTAATAACTATAATGATAATAATGATAATAATAATAATGATAATAATAACAATAAAAGATGATGGTAATAATAACTATAATGATAATAATGATAATAATAATAATAATAATAATTACAATATGAATGATAATAACAATGAAAATAAAAAAAATAAACGCCATTTCATTCCCCGTCTTGGTCGTCGCTCACACGCCCGTGAGGCCGTGGAGAGACACCCGTTCGTATCCCTGACGAATCCTGGTGAGGGAGCGGTCCACGCAGGGTGTCAGCAGGGGCAGTTTGAGGACCAGTGTCAGCAGGGGGAGCACGATGCACAGCTGGGGAGGAGAGAGAGAAAGAGGAGGAGGGAGAGGGTATGGGGCGAGGTGCTGTCATGGGCGAGAATTGCGCTTGTTGTGATAGTGCGGTGGATCTTATGGATACTTTGGAACTCGTGTGAAGAGTGACAGAGGGATTTGATTTTAAGTTTCTAATCATTTGTCACTTCTTGTAGAGGAGAGATGTGTTTAAATCCTTTGTTGGATATGCAGAACAAGCCAACATGCAAACAACAACAACGTAAATGGATAGGACCAAATCCATGAATATTTACAAAACAAATCAAAACTGCAAATCATCGCTGAATAAACTCGAGGCGTTGAATAAGATTATCCACATCCCTCGCTAAAAGCAACAGCAAACAGAGGCCACCTCCTCCCATCTCTTCATCATTTCCTTCCCTCTTTTTTCGTGAAGAGAACACCACGTACCTGCGCGATGGAAGGCAGAAAATAGCAGGAGAAATTATTCTTGATCAGCCCGTCCCAGAAGTTGAAGATGATGTGGAAGGAAGCCAGGAGGAGGACGAGCCACCCGACGCGGCTCTGCACGAAGGAGAACTCCCTCCAGGTCATCGAGGCGGACACGGAGGGCAGGGAGGCCACGCCCAGCACGCCCGCGAGGAGGAGAGTGAACGCCCCTGGAGATGGGCGGGGGGGGAAGGGCAAGGAAGAGGTTTACGCGGATTCTCTATACCCTCTTATTGTGCAATTAAGAATGATGTGTTTATGTACTTCGTTAGATAAGTAGAACAAAACAACATACAAACAACAACTACAACAGCAACATTAATATAAGACTAATTTCATAAATATTGAAGAGAAAATGCAAAGACTTTCGACTTGATAAAGGAACAAATAGATAAAAAAACGAATGACTGAGCGAACGAATGAAAGTACAGTTATATGAATAAATAAATGAACAAATAGAAACGTAAGTATATATACCCTCACTCTACATACGCCTCACAACTCACCACAAGCGACGTAGGTTGGGCCTCGCCAGGAGTAGGTGTCGTCGTACAAGCCAACACTCCCCATGCTGTAACTAAGAACCAGAATCGCCTGTGGAAGAAAGACATTATTTTTGTATTATTACGATCTTTTATATATATCATAATCACAGCAGGCATTTTTATATTTCGGATCTATCTGAAATAGGGAGAAAAAAATAGACAAAATTACTCAACCCAGGAAGATTAAGAAAAGAAGAAGAAGCAAAAGAAAAATAGCAGTTAATCTTCAATTTTAGAATAACCTTTTATTCCTTTCTCTCTGTTCTCACTTACATGGATAGCCGCGTTCCAGAGCATGAGGATTCCAATGTGTTTTCTTCCCTTGAGCCAAGTGTCCAGCCACAACGGAAACTCGGAGTACTTGGTTCCTCGTGCCAGCTGGATGTAGGCGGCTATGACACCTTGGAACGTTAAATCACACGTTAGAATGAGTTTAGAGGTTGAGAAAGATGAACGAGAAGATATATAGGGAAATATGATGAATTTGTTCTAGGTATATTTTCCTATATAGATAGAGAGCAAAAAAATACAGAGTGAAATTTAAAAACCTATTTATACACACGGATTCTCATAGAATTTCGACATGCAATCATGAACTACCTCTACCCAGGGTCACGCACGACCTCTCACCTGGCAGGTAACAAAGAGCGAGCAAGGTGAGGGCAGCGCCAGCGGAGGAGGAGCTCACGTTGTCTCTTACGATGCCGTCGAAGCCGCTCCAATCCCAAGTGAAATTGGGCTTGTGCATGTTCTCCAGGTTAGAGCACAGCTGGGACCTAGATCGTGGTGTGACGAATGGTTTTCTTTAGAAAACTTTCTATTATATAGATTATACGGTCATGAGTGAAGTTACCCACCTGGATAGCATCGTTAGATAAAAGTGTAAGGAGAAACTTAATTCGATATATTTTTCAGTACTATACATACCAAAATAATTACCCAATCGAGAAAGTAATCGCCCACCTGAACAGCATCAAAACAGATAATATTACAAGCAGACTCTCATTTAGATGCATTTTACAGTACTATAGATACAAAAATAATTACGCAATCACCCACCTGAAGAGCGTAACGACGAACATGATGCACCAGACGACCGTGGAAAGGATCACGCCAAACTTCCACTCTGTGAAGAACTGGAAGGGGATTTCCTCAACTTCTCGGGCACTCTGGAGGCCGCCCAAGTCTGTAGGATCCAGGCGGAGGTCCTTCACTACCTCGCTGACGAGTTGTTTCGCTTCCTTGTCGTCTCCACACACGGGGACCTTTCGATACGTGTTAGGTGTTAGTTGCGTTATTTTTCTGATTTTCGTTAATCTTCAATTTGTTTCTATGTTTATAGTCTCCTCTGCCTGTCATCTGTTTCCCTCATCCTCTCTATTTTTGTAATCCCCCTCCTCCACTCCTCTCTGAATGTATCATCGTCTTGCTTCCTCCCTTCTCTCTTTCTTTCCATCGTCCCCTTCTCCAATCTCTCCCCCCTCCCCCTCTCTTTGCATCGATCGATCTATCTTTAAAATCCCCCCCCTCTCCCTCTCCCAGCCTCCCAAATCCCTCATCCTTACCTCCTTGCTGCCCCTGATACCCCTGGAGAGCGTGTAAGCGGACAGAACGTTAAACGCCTTCACGACCCTGGCTGTGGGGAGCAGGTTCTGGAGGTGCTCCGCCTGGCTCCTTCCGGATGAATCTCGGTCTTTCGGGTTCCTGTGGTGGTGGAGCGGTGTTGGAATATTTATTTATTTATTCTCCCAAAGGTAAAGGACGAAGGAAATATGAACAGATATGGAGCAAAATGGAATTAGGCAAAAAAAAAAAAAAAAAAAAAAAAAAAATCCTTTGGTTCAGGTAACTCAACCGACTGTATTTTTAGCCGATAAGAATTTTTATCACTAAATTTTTGTCTACCACAATTTTAAGACCCTGTTTTTTTTTTCTTTTTTAAATACCGCCCAAAACACAAGCCCAAGCGGCAAAAAGGCTAGATTTATGATTGGCAAAGCACAATGAGCAAACCTGCATCACGCCTATTGGCACCAGACGATGACCGGCGATACAGCACAAGGCGAGCGTGCATCGTCTCGTTATCAAAATGGCAGCTCTCTGACTGAGTTTAAAAGATGAACAAGATTTATATTTTGAATTTGAACCTCAGTTTTATTTTTCCAGTGTGACATATAGGTCTGGGAGGCAGGGTATAGAGTGAGGTGTTGTCCACGAACATGAACATATATATATACATAATCTCTCTCTCTCCAAAAAAAGAATAAATAATGAAAATAAATAAATATATAAAAAATGGTAAATAAAAGATAAATAAATAAATAAATACAAAAAATAAATAAATAGATAAATAAATAAATACAAAAAAAAAGAATAAAAAATAGATAAATATCAACAATAATAATCACACACACACACACACACACACAAAAAAAAAAAAAAAAACCACACACACACAACACACACACACAACAGAAAAAAAAAAAAAAACTACACAAACACACCTATTGCTAACATCAATGACGATCTTGTTGGCGAGATTACTAAGGGGCAGAGAACCCGTGTGTTGGAAGGGCACTGCCAACACCACCACGGCGCTCTCTCTCAGTGCCTCCGCGTGGGTCATCGGAATGCCACCCGTTGCCTCGACCTTTGACCTGGTGGCAGAAGGTGAATCGGTGGATAGATAGATAGACGGATAAGAGGGTGGATAGATGAATAGATGGGTGAGAGAATAGACAGATAGATAGATGGATAAGAGGGTGGATAGATAAATAGATGGGTGAGAGAATAGACAGATAGATAGATGGATAAGAGGGTGGATAGATAAATAGATGGTGATAGACAGATAGATAGAGGATATATAGATAAATAGATGGGTGAGGGAATAGACAGATAGATAGATGGATAAGAGGGTGGATAGATAAATAGATGGGTGAGAGAATAGACAGATAGATAGACGGATTAAAAGGTGGATAGGATGGGTGAGAATAGACAGATAGATAGATGGATAAGAGGGTGGATAGATAAATAGATGGGTGAGGGAATAGACAGATAGATAGATGGATAAGAGGGTGGATAGATAAATAGATGGGTGAGGGAATAGACAGATAGATAGATGGATAAGAGACGAAAGACAGATGGATGGATAGATGGGTATTAATATAAATAATTGGTAGGTAGATAGATAAAATGCTAACATCCAAAGTGAAATTATTGGTAGATAGACATTTAAGCAGACAGAAAAAAGAAAGGAGAAAGAAATAAGTAAACTGATATGCACAATTTACATGTACATACGTCTCATATACGGTTACAGAATGAGCATACTTCGAAATATATCTATTTATCTATCTATCTATCTATATATGTATATATATGTATGTCTATCTCTCTCTCTCTCTCTCTCTCTCTCTCTCTCTCTCTCTCTCTCTCTCTCTCTCTCTCTCTCTCTCTCTCTCTCTCTCTCTCTCTCTCTCTCTCTCTCTCTCTCTCTCTCTCTCTCTCTCTCTCTCTCTCTCTCTTCTCTCTCTATATAATATATATATATTATATATTAGGTATATATATGTATATATGTATATCTATATCTATCTATCTATCTATATATATATGTACACATACATACATACATATATATATATATATATATATATTATATATATATATATATATATATATATATATAATATATATATATATATATATATATATATATATATATTATATATATATATATATATATATATATATATATATATATATATATATATATATATATATATATATATATATAATATATATATATATATATATATATATATATATATATATATATATATATATATATATATATATATATATATATATATATATATATATATATATTATATATATATATATATATATATATATATATATATATATATATATATATATATATATATATATATATAATATATATATATATATATATATATATATATGTTACACACACACACAAGAAGACACAGAATAAGCGAATATCCAGCGAATCTCACCTGCACCTCTCGGGGTCTCTGCTCCCGACGGCTACCCGGTAGTTCGCCTGCACGAGTCGAGTGGCGAGCGCGAGGCCGAAGTCGCCGCTGCCCAGCACCACGATCTTCTTCCTTCCGTCGTCATCTGCGGGGGTCGTTGGGCTTTTGTCAACTAGGGTTTAGTTCGAAGTGTACGGCGAGTTCCTCTGTGCACACTTAGGCCCGTATTTTAAAACCTTCGCCAGTGCTGCGTTCGCAGGCGAACCTCTGAGTGAGGGAGGCCTTACTTTTAAACCCAATGTTCGCCAGGGCGGGCGAAGGGATCGCCAGGGCTAACTTCTTGCATTCTTGCTAAATCTAGCGCAATTGTTTACATCTGCAGTGCACATAACATAACCTAAACTTAATTATTAACCTCGAGAGAAGACGAAAATGTTTCCGCAATAGTCTCACTTTATACTATTACAAAGGAGTTAAAATTTAACTTTATGCTATAACAAAGAAGTTGAAAAATATCTTTATACTATACAAATTAACTTTATACTTTATGCTATACTACACTTTATACTATAACAAGGTTAACTTTATGGTTGCACTTTTTAAAAACCGTTTTGCTTTTCTCGCGTTTTTTTTTTCATTCGCCGAAGCGCTAGATTTAGCAGGAATCCAAGATGTTAGCGCCTGGCGATCCCTTTCGTTCGCCAGGCCTGGCGAACACCTGCCTTGGTTTTAAAAGTAAGGCCTCCCTCACTCAGATGTTCGCCTGGCGATGCTTCGCCAGGCGAACGCCAGCATTGGCGAAAGGTTCTTTATACTATACTATATCAACTTTATACTTTTATACAAAAAACTTTATACTTTAACAAAAAGAGTTTAAAAATTACTATTTTACCATTAACTGATTTAAGATATTGAACTGTAGGCCTACAAAGGTATCATTAAAGACGCCTCATTATAGGGCGGTGGAGCACTACAGCTCTGTTTCTATAGCCAAAAGTAAACATGCCGCCATAAAAACACTCCTGGTAACATTTGTGAAAAGAACATTATCCTTACAACCAAAATAACAAGAACCTAAATCTAAATAAGTCATCTCGGGGTGGGGTAAGGATAGGGGGGAAGGAATACAGCTGATGTCTTGAGCTTTCGACTGGAACATCGAAGGTCTTGAAAATAATACGTATATACGTTATTTCATAATAAATTATGATTTTAAGATATTTTAGAATTTCAATGTGATTCCTACATCATATCATACACAAATATGTTACTAATCTATAACTTGAAAGCAAGAAAATGGTATTCAAACAGCTCTCGCGCCTTTGCTTCGCCAGGCAGTTCCAATATGATCTTTCGCCAGCCCTGGCGAACGTTCGCCAGGCATAATTTTAATAGTACGAAATTCCGGATCGCCCGGCGAAACCTTTCGCCAGCTCTGGCGAAAGGTTTTAAAAGTACGGGCCTTAGACATCAGGTGACAAGTAATTAGAAGTCATGTGTGCAGTATTTCTTCGTAATACTGTTTATTTGAGAGCAGCCGGTCTATAGTTGTTCAAGTAAAAGGCACTAGTCAATTTTTTCTCTCGTACGAACCGTTCCACTTTAATGTATGTCTGTACATTATTATTTAAGGTGTGGAAACCTTTCCATAGAAATTTCATTTACTCATCGGAATACAGTTTCTGGAAAGTGTAGATAATAGTATTTGTTCTTTTCTTTTCTTTTAAAGAGAGGAATAGCGAGAGGTGTGTCTGTACTCATGTGATGGGGTGTTCCTATATTTGTTATTCAACTGAAATCATTCACTATACGGTATATGAACAGAAGATGGAGAAGAAATACAAGAAGAACAAGAAAAAAATAGTTGAAGAAGCTGAATAAGAATAGAAATAAGGTGGAGGAGGAGGAGAAGGAGGAGAAGGAGGAGGAGGAGGAGGAGGAGGAGGAGGAGGAGGAGGAGGAAGGAGAAGAAGAAGAAGAAGAAGAAGAAGAAGAAGAAGAAGAAGAAGAAGAAGAAGAAGAAGAAAGAAGAAGAAGAAGAAGAAGAAGAAGAAGAAGAAGAAGAAGAAGAAGAAGAAGAAAGAAAGAAGAAGAAGAAGAAGAAGAAGAAAAAAAGAAGAAGAAAAAGAAGAAGAAGAGAAAGAAGAAAAAGGAGCAAACGTATATATTAGTTACCCAGCAAAAACTAACGTATATGTGTATTTTCTTTGGTATATCATATGAGAGAAAACGAAGATTTCTGTTTTCTAGCATAAACTTTAATAAAATATATTTCCATAATGTACAGACACTTATAACTACCCATTTGTCTGTATGTCCATCTATATATCTATTTATCCAGCCATTTATCTATCTATCCACAGTGTAACAAACCTGCCTCCCCTGAATACGGTACGACGCGCGCGCGCACACACACATAAATATATCGGCATATGTGTGCATGTATGAATACACTAAATGAACACACGTAATCCCATTCCCTCCCCGTCTTTCTTCTCGGCCCAAACCATCACCCACCGAGAGGCAGCTGTGACGCCGCGGCGCCGTTGGCAGCGGACACGGAGAGGGACAGGGAGAACCTCGGGTCGTAGGGCGGGAAGGCGGTGCCGGGGTCGATCCTCCCGGCGCTGGTTTCGGACGCGCCTCGGCTTCGGGGATTCTTCCGGAGGAGAGTCGAGTTTCTGCTGCTGGAGGACACCTGGCTCTGCCGTTGGGCTCCGGGGCTCTCGTTCTCGCCTGCGGGAGACGTCGGTTGATGAGGAACGAGCGGTGGAAAATGCTTTGGTGTTGTTCGAGAAAAAAGAGAGAAGCGAATGATTGGTACTTCAGAGAAAATCTTGATGCAAACAAATGGGCAATCGGACATTAGCACACACATACGAACTCACGCACACACACACACGTGAACGTTCAGAAAAGCCCGATAAGTCTCACCCATTTCTGGCAGGTCCGGCATCTTGGCATCGCGATTTTGAGAAGCAGAAGGGAAGCGCGGTTGGCCTGACGAAGGGAAGGGGGTTGTGGGGGGACCCGAAGGAGATGGGGTAGAAGGGGTGTTGGGGGGAACCGAAGGAAGTGGGGAGGAAGTTGGGGCGTCAAAGGGAGACGGTGGGGAGTCAGACGGAGTTATATTCTCCATTATGCCCGTGCCTGCAGGGTTCGTTGCCATCTTGTTTTTAGAGTTAGGTCGCTTCTGCGTTAAAAAAAAAGGAAAAAAAATATAAGAACGCAAAACACAATAATCTGTCGTGTATCTTGACAGCAATCAGATGCAGAATAACATAAACAAAAGTGACAACTAGATATGAACCTTGAAAAAGATAAAACTATTTAAACTTAAAACCGAAAAACTAATATATAAACACACACCACGAAAAGCACAATTTATTCCCCTTAATTCATATAAAACATGTATTCCCCTTAATCTTCACAAAACAGTCAATAAGAGACAACGCTAAAGATGAATGCCAAGTACTTTACCTGCCAATCACTCTCGCTCCTCCTCCGGTGCCAGCTTTCCCCGAATGCCAAAGCGTGACATCGTTCTACTGATAGTTTTTAAAAATTACTTAATCATCCTTAAAAAAA